TTCTCAGCAACCAGATCATCTGACATTCCAGAGACAGTGGCTGTTTCCCTGGAAAGAGAAAGGAACCGGTTGCAGCCCGCACTCCTGGTAGTCATGGAGAGAGCATGATCAAGGGCGTTTCACTGGGCTTCCCAGCCAAGACGGCATCTGTGGGGCTCACTGCCCCAGCAACCTCATTATTCAGGAGATGGGGCTGTTGTTGAAATCTGCACCTACGTGGATGAAAACTGCACCCTTGGGGCTGGAATGAAGACAGGTGTTGCTTGTTCAGTGTCTCAACCCCAGAAAGATGAGGGAATTCTTAGAGAAGTAACATTGAACTTGTATCACGTTCAGCTGCTTTAATTCAGCAAGCCGCATCTTAAAACAAGGCTGTCTGACAATTTGGGGGTGATATCTATGTTTCTGAAAAAGGAACGGTTTAACAGGCTGGTGAGTAAGATCTAAGCGGTGTCCAGCTACAACTAGATGAATCCTTAGACCAGTCAGTGATGCTTTGATAGTCAGATTTAGCTAATGAAATAAATAAAATGAGTAATACTTTGTGTAAAGGTGAAACTGAGGTACAGGGAGACGGACAGACATAACTGACAGGACAAGGGAGAGCAGAAACAGAAAGAGCTGTATGAGGGGAAGCTCCGGGAAGAGGTTACGTGACTTAGGCCAACAGGTCAGGGAACTCGTGCTTAGCAGCTGGGGGTGAGGGTTTTTAAAGGGGTGGTGAGGAATGCATGGCGATTATGGCAATTAGCTTTGTCCACTCCTTGAGGCTTTCTTTGGACCCAGAGCATCTGGTTTCACTGGTTATCTTATCTGGCAGCTGTCTGCTGCTGACCTTTGGGATGTGCAGGGAAGCTCGTGCAGGGCCTGACCTGCTTCAGCTTAGTCCAAACAAGGCTGCCTAGTTCGGACCGGCCCAAACACTTTGTACTTTATGTGTTGGATATTCCCATACTCCTATGGCAAGGGTCACACATGCATCATGGTTACTAACATGTAGAGTTGATTTTGGCAGCATGTCTGTGGCCCAGAGATAATTCCTCATCCAGGGATCAAATCAGCCAAGAGACTTGGATTCTATTGACCAAACAATAAGCTGAAGACATTTCTCCTCACTTACAGAAATGTCATTCAACAAAGCATACTGATTCAGGATCTTCCATATGCTTGGCCCTGGGTTTGAAAGGGGGCCCAGCCCCCACTGTCACAGAGCTTACAGTCTGATCTGCATGGGGATGGCATAAGACAACTAAATGTTTAGTCAGCCTCCCTCATCTGCAAGGACCTCTAGTGGTGTAGTTTGTTACACACTGGGCTGCTAACCATAAAGTCAACAGTTTGAAATCACTAGCTGCTCCAAGGGAGAAAGATGAGGCTTACTACTCCCATAAAGATTTACATCTCAATTGGACAACCCCTTACAGAAGGGTCACAAGAAAGAGATGAGCCAGTGAGGGTGCAGGATAGCACCAAGGAAATATACAACTTTCCTCTAGTTCAGCGGTTCCCAACCTGTGGGTCGCAACCCCTTTGGGGGTCAAACAACCCTTTCACAGGGGTCGCTCAATTCATAACAGTAGCAAAATTACAGTTATGAAGTATCAATTAAAATAATTTTATGGTTGGGGGGTCACCACAATATGAGGAACTGTATTAAAGGGCCGCAGCATTAGGAAGGTTGAGAACCACTGCTCTAGTTCTTTAATGCTTCCTCCGCCTCCTGCCCTCCCCACTATCATGACCCAATTCTACCTTACAAATATGGTTAGACCAGAGCATGTACATGGGTACAGATAGGAGCTGGAAACACAGGGAATCCAGGATAGATAAACAACCCCTCAGAACCAATAATGAGAGTAGCAATCCTGGAGGGGAAGGGGAAGATAGGGAGAGAAAGGGGGAACTGATCACAATGATCTACATATAACCCTCTCCCAAGAGGACAGACAACAGAAAAGTGGATGAAGGGAAACACCGGTCAGTATAAGATATGAAAAAATAATAATAATTTATAAACTATCAAGGGTTCACCAGAGAGGGAGGCTGGGGGAGGGAGGGAAAAATGAGCTGATACCAAGAGCTCAAGTAGAAAGAAAATGTTTTGAAAATGATGATGGCAACATATGTACAAATGTGCTTGGCACAATGGATGGATGGATGGAAGGATGGATGGATTGTCATAAGAGCGGTACGAGTCCCCAATAAAATTATTAAAAATAAAATAGAATAAAAAGATTGGCAGTGTCAGAACCCACCACCACCACCCCACCACCCCCAGGGCAGTTGTGCCCTGTCCGTTGGGGTTGTCCTGAGTCAGAACTGACTCACTGGCAGTGAGTTCTCTAATCCACATCCTTGGTGAAGCCCCTTAGGGCATTTTCATAGAGATGCAGGAGGGTAGGCTGGTAGTTCCCACAAGACCTAGACACACATTTCCTCAAAAAAACGGCAACTTCAGGATCATGAGCCTGGTAACTACACCCTATTCCAGCTGTCACTTCCCACTGTCTCCCATGGCCTCTAACCTTGGACCTGGGAGACAGCCACGTGGGAGCAGCGTGCTGCAATCTGCAACAACTTCCACTCAGCCAGACTTGGGATGGGGTACCTCCTTAAATCCCAGAGAGCAATTGCCAGGCACAGAAGACAAGATGGAAGCCAGGCAGGTGATTCCTTTCTACAGAGCTACGTATGTTGTCATCTGAGACCCTTGACACCAACTCCTTATGATGTGACAGCCACGTTCTTCATGGCCAATCTAGTTCAATATTCAATTCCAGTTTCTGAGTCAGGTGCTTTATGTGGCATGCTTGAAGATCGATGTTTGTAACCTGTATCAAGAGTCTAGGGCATTGTTTATTTGGGGAGTGACAAGAGACAAGAGCTGGCTAGGTCAAGTAGACAAGAGGAGCTTCAGGGATTCTCTCAATCAAAGATTCAGCAGGGCTTCAGCTGCTGAGTGGTTCTTCTGCCCAGGTAATTCCAGTGAACACCAGAACGTTCTAGAAGAGACACCAAATTCACCATTGAACAATGTTATAGGAGCCTAGAGTCTCAAGAAGTGAAAATATGTTCTCAAAGATACTGATTTAGTTTATTGTGCCAACCTGGCCAATAAACACATGTGGGGTTAATTGAAGGGCGGCCAGATAAATGGCTCAGTGAGCCTCACCTTTCTAGTTCTCAGGTCTTTTGCTTTGTGATGGTCGCACCAGGGTGCAGCTGCTTTAGCAGTTCCCTGCTTCAGCTTGCAAGGCTGACTTCCTGCAAGACATCCCCAAGGAGAAGCCACATGGACCTACCCTGATGCAGCCCTGGGTGCTGGAGCAGCCCTGTGGAGACCCCTGCCAGCGCTGAGATGCTTACACATTCACTGACTCAGCTTTCCTCCTGCAGGCGGCATCATGCCTCTGTTTTGCGAGATGGAGGAGGACTTTGTGGACTGGTGTTGGACATATGGGTTAATGGGTTAATGTTGGACTTGTGGGTTGGGCAGCACTGGGTTAGGATGTTTTCTTGATGCGCACTTAACCTTTATATAAAACTCTCTCTTGTACATGAGTTTCTGTGGATTTGTTTCTTTAAGTACCCTGACTAATACAGATGCCTAGAAAGGGGCGTCCATAGACAGACTAGGTGGTTGTCTCGGTACGGGCCTTGGGCATGGGTATCAACAGGAGGTTGAGCTCTAATTATAGAGGCCCAATAAGCCAGGTAAACACAGGTTAACGTGTGGTCATGTACTAATCTGCAGTGAACAAGTTCACGTGTTTTCACCACATCCAAGGTTTTGCTTCTAGGAAGAGTTGACATCTGTCTCTCTCCCCACCCCACAGCCCTTCCGACAGGATCAAAGGCTCTGTTCACATTGACCCTTCCTGGCAGGGACAGGGGCCCCAGGAAGCAAGGTGAGCATGGGGACCCATTTTATTCTTGCCACCACTTTAAGGATGAGAAACTGTTCGCTATACATTAGCAAGTCAGCACAAGTAAGATCATACCTACCTAATTATTGGGTAACCCATCCTGTCTTAAAACCACACTCACTGCCAGAGAGTCGGTGCTGACTCACAGTGACTCTCTAGGACAGGGTAGACTGCCCCCATGGGTTTAGGAGACTGTAACTCTTTGCAGGAGTAGAACGCCTCCGCTTTCTCCTGAGGAATGGCTGGCGGCTGGTGGTTTGGAACCGTGGACCTTGCGGCTACCAGTCCCAAGTGTCACCACGACGCCACCTGAGCGCCTCATCCTGTCTTGAGGGGATAAAGACTTTCTCAAATCGACCGTGGTGATGGCTGCACAGGTCTGTCAACCTACTCAAAAACACCCAACGAGTTGCAGACTTTGTAAGGGCGAGTTAGTTGCACCTGTGAATGCTCACTCGATGCAGAAAGGAGACGCTCCGCCCCTGACCCGAGAAGAAAAGGGAGCGGGGAAGCCCCGAAAAGGAAGGATGGCAGGCCACAGATGGAGGGCACAGCGACCCCCAGCTGCCTGGGTGCTCTCGGACAACGTGCAAGGGTTCTCGAAGGGGGATTAGGTTCATCCGCGTTGCCAAATTGGAAAAGAAAGAAGAAGAAAAAAGCCTAGCCTCTTGCCCTGAGTTCGGCATCTTCCATCCACCCCACCCCACCCCACCCCCAATTCCATGTTGTTCTCCACGATTTGGGCAGCCAGCTGTTACCTGACAGACTGTCCACCTGCCCACCGGGAACTGCCCCCGCAGCTCTCGGCCGATTTTCAGGGTGCGGTGGACCTTCCCCCCTCGTTTGCTCCCAGAGCCAAGGGCAGTGCCGGGCCCTCCCCGGTCCCCGCGCAGCTAGTCCCCCTCCGGGTCTATTTTTAGTTTGCCTGGCGCAAGTGTCTTCAGGCCACGAAACCCAACTCCCCTGGCATGCCCCCCCACAGGTCACACCGGCCTCCCAAATCTGCGGTGCCCTTTCCCGGGGCAGAAGTGGCGGCTCCGGGCTCACGCTCCGTGCTTCGCTGGATGCGAGTGAGCCGGACAGACAGACGGCCGCCGGCGGGCCTCGGATGTGGACATTTTCCTCTCAGATGACAGAATCGCTCCAACTTCCCCTGTGCGGTGGCTTCCTGCCGTCTGGTTTTCTGTAAAAGAAACAACAACAACAACAACAACAACGCTTTCCTTCCCGAGTGGCCTGCCATGCCCACCGTCATCAGCGCGTCTGTGGCCCCACGGACGGGGGCTGAGCCCAAGTCCCCGGGGCCAGTGCCCACCCCAGTCCCGGGCAGCAGCACCGAGGCCGGGGGTGGAAGCCCGAGCGGCATCTACTCCGCCATCCTCAGCCGCAATTTCCCTGTTATTGGGGTGAAAGAGAAGACATTCGAGCAGCTTCACAAGAAATGCCTGGAAAAGAAAGTGCTCTATGTGGATCCCGAGTTCCCGCCGGATGAGACCTCTCTCTTCTACAGCCAGAAGTTCCCCATCCGGTTCGTCTGGAAGAGGCCTCCGGTGAGTAGGGGACCGGCTGCTGGCTGGGGGGTTACCCCCAAAGACGCCCTCCCTCCACCCCCCTCCCGGGTCTCTGAGCTGTGCCCGGGTCCGCTGGGGAAGAGCCATGGCCATGGCTTTGCAGGCTGAGCCTCAAGTGTGGAGCGGCAGCAGAGGGAGGGAGGCTGGGTGCCCATCGCCACATCCTGGCAAAATGGACAAGGCCCTCCTCGCCGACACAGTGCTGGTTCTCATTCTCATTCTCTCTCTCACTGTCTCTCTTTTGAACTAATTAATCTGTCATCTATTTCTGAAATACCCTTGTTCGCTCGCTTTGAAAAGATCTCGGACCTTGGTGAGGTTCCGACCGCCCCTTTGGCTGAAATCACGATGTTCTCTCTTGGTTTTGCCCGTAGCGGGGCTGGTGGTTTGCCAGAACACACAAAGACGAGGGGGGCAGACAAAGACTGGCCTTTGGGGCATAGGCTGTTAGGAATCTCAGGGACCCTCACCATCAGTGTTTTTCTGTCCATGGACCTGCCTCACCTCACCAAGGAGGAAGGAAAGGCAGGCCAAGAGGCGGGACAGAGCCCTAGGAGCACCCCCTTCTCACACAGGTAACTCCTCTAGCCTCTGGGTTTCACACACTGTGAAACAGCAGTTGTTGTGTAGTGCCAACGTCCATTCTGACGCACAGCGTCCCCAGGTGACAGAGGAGGGCTGCCCCACAGGGACCTCTGGCTGTTACCTTTACAGGAACAAATGGCCAGGTCTTTCTGCCACAAAGCAGCTAGAGGACGTGGAAAAGCCAAGAGCTTGATCTACCAGAAGAGAAATCCACATGCCCTCAGCGCCCTTTTCTGATCACGCCACCCGCCGGACTCTGGTTCTTAATTCAAGAAGCATTGAGTGAGCATCTACTAGGGCCGGACCCTGAGCCAGGGCTTGGGGAGACAGCTACATAGATCAGAAAAAAAGGAGCATCTATACAAGCGTGGATCCAAGGAGTCAGACAGACATGGGACAAGAGTGATCACTTTTAGGAGACAGCCTCAGGCTGTAGTGGACACCCCCAACCAACCAGACATGCCCATTCACTGCCCCCATCCCCCTCCTGCCCCGCTTGCACATCCCCCTCCTGCCCCCCTTACACTTGCAGACAAAGGAGAGCAAGAAATGAAAGTGACCCAACTCACCGAGGACAACACTCACTTGGGGCAGTTGTCACTCTGGCTGTCACTGTCATCTGCTCAGAATCCACCAAGGCGAGTGTGGCCTGACGCATGCAAATGAGTCTCCAGCAAGCCCGGCCTTCACCCTTGGGAAAACTGGCTCCCTGGCTGGCTAAGAAGTGGGGCTCAGGAAGGCTCCTGGGTTCACGTCTCATGTGCACTAGTGTCAGCTCTGTGACCTCGCAGGCATCCTTCTTCAAGCCTCAGTTTCTTCGGCTACAAATGGAGATAACAATAAGAACTTACCTCCAAGGGCTATTGTCAGAGTTCAACAAGATCATCTAGATAAGGTGCTCAGCACCATGCACAATATTTATTAAGATATTTAGCCATAATTACCCTAAGGGAAGGAAATGGAGACACTGATTTAGTTGATCCTCACCAGAACAACCCATTGTCATCAAGTCTGCTCCAACTCATGGCAAACCTGTAGAACAGGGAACTGCCCCTGGGGGTTCACGAGTCGGTAGCACTCTAAGGGAGTTGAAAGCCTCATCTTTCTCTTTTGGAGCAGATGGGGCTTCAAGCTGCTCACCCAGTAGTTAACGCAACACGTAACCCACTAGGTCATCAGAGAAATGTAAACATTTTATAGAAGAGAAAACTGAGGCCCAAGGGATAATAAGTGGGGTCTCCATTTGAACCCAGGTATACTTGAATCCAAAGTGATGATGTGTTCACTCCATCATGGTGTCTCCTAAAGGCAAATTCTGCCTGATATATCAGTGAGTCTCTTGTACTGTCTAGACTGCGTGGGTCATCAGATCAACCCCAGTAGAGCTGAGAATGGAGTCCCTAGGTCTGCCAGAGATTAGGGGTGGATCAATGCCAAAACCAAGGTCTCAGTGGATTGGGAGGAAGAAACAGGAGAACTAGGGAGTGCTCTTCAGCTGACAGGCCCCTGTGAAACTGTATTAGAAAGGCCCACCTTCTAGGTAAGTGTGCCACAGCCTTTGTAAACTTCCCTGTGCCACCCCCCTCACCCTAGAGATCTGGGGCTTTGCACCTGGCTAAATAATCCCTAATGGCACCCCTAAATGTGCCTTTAGGGGAGCATTTTTAAAAAACTCTTCTATTTCTATTTCTATTTTATTTCCTACTTCTATTCCTCTTTCTTTCCTAACCCTTCTGAAGGAAGCTTGTCCTTGGGTCAATGCTGCGCCTTTCCACTTCAAATGGTTGGTTATTCTACGTCCAGTGTGCCTCACTAGTGTTTTTTTGTTCCCTGTCTAACTTTGTCCTTTGTTTGGCTGAAATTAGAACCACCGAGGAGAGTTCCGTTCCACGTGTAAAGGTGACTGAGGGCCATAGTCTTGGGGGTTCCACCAGTCTCTAGCTAACCAGTAAACCTGAGCTCCTTCATGATTTGGGGTTGTGTTCCACATGTTTTCCCCACTCGATCCAGGACCTTGAGATGTGACCCCTTTGAGAGCATCTAGTTCTTCTGGTCTCAGGTTGTGGAGACTGAGGTTTGTGTGGCCCCTGAGTCCACTGGATGAATTGTTTCCCTGTATCTTTTGATTTTCATCACTCTTCTTCCCTCCTGAAGTGGGAGAGACCAGCGGTTGTACCTTCAAAGGCCACTCACAAACTTTTTTAAGACCCCAGTTGGTAAGAAGAGCAACTCTCTTAGGTACAGAATCATTGAAAATCAGTCTAAACTTTTCGTCACCAATCAAGTGTTATTTTTACAATTAGAATGATGGTGATGGTGATGATGATGACAAAGGAAGATAACAAATGCATAGCCAACTATAATTCTCCTTAAGATAACACATTGCACCTTCAATCACTCTCTCTCAAAAGAAAATAGTGTCCAGCCAAACTGTCCCCAAGATAATTTACAATCTCTTCTCCCATTCTTACCAGTGTCCCGGCATGGCCTTCCCCTCACCTCATCATGCATCCATCCCCAGGTCAATTAATCTGATTCCAACCAATTGTTAGGCCCAATTTTCTTTTTCACCCCAAAGCCATTTTATTGGGAGCAAATACAGATATCATATCCTCCTTCTATAATTTAATCACATCAAGCAGTATTGTTCAATGAAGCCCAAATTTCTTGACATGCTACATTGGGGCAGTACAGCATGACCTCTGGAAGAGAGCTTCTGGGAGACTGAGGACCTCTTGGCCACCAGCACTGAGGACAGGTGTTGGGGGAAAGGTATGACCCATCCACATGGTGGGAACTTCAGCAGGACAGGCCTCCTGGCTTCTCCCCTCCCCTTCACAACCAAACCAAACTCACTGCCATCAAGTCAATTCCAACTCCTAGCCGCCCTACAGGACAGACTAGAACTGCCCCTTTGGGGTATTTTTAGGGGAGTAGAAAGCCTTGTCTTTCTCCTGAGGAGCGGCGGGTGGTTTCGAACTGCTGATCTTGCTGGTTGCAACCCAACGTGTAACCACTACACCACCAAGGCTCCTTTCCCCTCCCCTCACATGGATCTATAAAGAGATCCAAGATCTGCAAAGCCCAGTCCTTTCCTCTTTCTTTCTCTTGAGCGCAAGCT